GTGTGTGTGTGTGTGTGTGTGTGTGTGTGTGTGTGTGTCCCCCCCCCCAGAACGGAGATCTTCGTGTCCTCTGTTTTACGTGGAATATCATGAATTTCATCTCTGTCTTCTCTGCCCTGGATACCCTGTGAGAAGCAACTGTTATTGTTCCTTTCTGGGCCATTTTAGAGGCCTGGACGGATATTTTGAAACTTAATCATAAATAGCTTATATAAGCTGTTCCACCAACTCCAGATGGAAGGCAAAAGAACTGCAGAGGAAATCAGAGAAAGCAGAGGAAAGGGCTGCCCATAGAGCAGGATGTGAGGGACCTCAGGGAAGTCCGCTGTGAAAACACCATCTTCTCTCGCTGGTGAATGCCCGCATTTCCGTTCTGCATTTGAGATAGAAAGGTCCTTAATTCTTCAAACTCTTTTAGAACATAGAACCCTATGAGGGAAGAGATTTTTGTCTGTTTTGCTCACTGGTCTAGAGCAGTGCTCAACACATAACATGCCTTTAAAGTTTTAGTGAGCAAATCATTTACCAAACTTTAGAAAAATATACGAAACTGTTCGTATCAAAATCTCTACTTCCACGTATCTAAAACGAAATTAACCATCTCTTCTCCACAAACAATTTGACCTTCCAGCTTGTGTAATAGTGTCCTATAAGTCTTCCAGATCAAATACTCCTGTGGGCTTCTTCATTCTCTACAGCCGACGGTACACTAATAGCAACAGCTACCATCTGAGAATCTACTATGTGCCAGACACTGGGCTAGAAGCTTGAATCACGGCTGCACTGCAAGGTGGATAGCAAGGCTCTAGAGCCAGGGTGCCCGGGTTCAAATCCCAGTGCTACCCCTGGGCGGTATATCTAAACTCTCTAGCGACTACACAGCTTAGCCAGAACCAGAATTCAGGTCTGACTCCAGTGCCCATGTGTTTTGTTTTGTTTTGTTTTCCTACAAGCATCGCTTCTCTTAAATCTCACTGGGTTCTTCCTTAAAAATCTTCTAGACTTCCATTTTCTTCTCTTTGGTTCTCCATTTTCTTATAAAAATTTTCCAACAGTGAAGTTGAAAGAATTTCACATCCACCACCTAGATTCTACCATTCACATCTTACCAGTTACTTTACCACACCTCATCTCTCTTTATCCATTTATCAATCCATGTTACTTTTTGACACATTGCAAATATTTTTTTTTTATTTTTGATGCATTCATTTCAAAATAAACCACAGACTTTCCCCTCCAGCACTTTGGCATATAGATCTTAACAAGGGTCATTATCCGTTTACATTTTGTTGTTGTTGTTAAGTCATTTTCCTCTTTTCTCGGCCAAAGATACAATTCATTTCTCCCCACAAATCTGTCAATGAACCTGGTTAATCTTTTAAACTGTTGATTTTTACATATTGTTCAGTTGCTTAAAAATTCACAAGGTCTTCCTGTTTTCTATAATTCATTCAAATACTTAACAAATATTTATCAAGCCTAGTGGACTCAGTCAAATTCCCATGCAGACTTACCCCACTATTCTTCAAATATCCTGTCAGTGGCTGACAGGAGCATTCAACTCTCCTCTATTGTCCTAAACAGCTCAACTCCTATTCCAAAGTATCTACCCTACCCAGGGAAAAATAAAAACCTGCAGAT